CAATACGTCATCGCAATCTTTTCATAGAATCCTTACATACACTTTTCATAAAATATAGATATTAAATTAAATACCCTAATAGAAATACAACTGCTGCGCTGATCAATAAATCAAATGAAGATAAAAAATTAAAAAATTAGAAAATAAATAAAATTCCTTGGTGATTCCTTTAAGCACAAAATATTCTCAAATTTAAAAAGTTTCTTTTTTTATCAGAAACTTTAATGAACTTAAAAACTTTACCATACATTTAAATACTTTTTGATAACTATTCCATATATTTGATTCTCTTTAAAATTTTAGGAAGTTAATATGTGTTACTTTTATTTGCTCTTAGATAATAGTTTTCATTTATGTTTCTTTCAAACTTGATATTAAAGTTTGCAGGAGAGATATTATTATTGAATTGATACATAAAAATTAAATGCTGATAGATATTTATTTCAAAAACATCTATCATTTTGATATCTTTCATTTTAGGTTTTTAGCATGTTAACGCTCATTTTTATAGTAAATGATTCTGCACGCATGTTTTTGTAGACTATAATTTTTTTTAAGTTTTGATGGTTGCGTACTTGCCCATTTTATGTTTGCATAGCTGATGAAACAATGAATTAGTTTAAGACTTTATTTATTGATATATGAGCAAACTCGATACATCATACCAATTATATTAGTGATTTTAGATTGAATATATTTTATTTGAGGAAGTCAGGTTAACTCCTCATAAACAAGAATTCCGAAGAATCTAATACTTATTTAAAACTTTCATGTTTTAAATTTAGGGATGCGGAGTCCTAAATAAACTCCGGCTTTAAATCTCTGTTTTTTTCTGGTCTAGAATTTTTTCCTGATCCAGTAAAAAAAATCATGAGATATAATGGTTTTGAACATACTATTTTTAAGTCCGAAACCCCGGAGTAATTGCCGCTATTATACATAGTCACTTTAAAATTAATCGTTTGAAAATTGATCGTTCCTCTGACCTAAAAGTCCTAATTTTTTTCTCAAAAGTTTTTCACAAGCTTGTTTACATTTCTGGAGCGTCTGGATACCAATAACCAAAAAGAAATAATATTTTTTTGACATTCCACAGTCTTTTTTGGAAATCCGCATCCCTATTTAAATTACATTTTAAGTTTCTTAATTACAATTTTCATGTTCTAAATTACATCTTTTATTTCTCAATTACAACTTTTATCTTTGCATTTACATTTTACGTTTCTTAGTTACAACTTCTAAGTTCTTAATTACATCTTAAAAAGGTGTATAACAACCTATAAGCTTACATAGTGCATTGAGTGTTACAGTTTATGAATTCTTAAGTACATATTACGATTTCTTAAATACATATTGTGTTTCTCAATTACATCTAACGGTTTCTTAATTACATGTTAGGTTTCTTAGTTACATGTTGGATTTCTTTATTACATATTTCCATTTCTAAATTATATGTTTTGTTGCTCAGTTACATTTAACAACTTTAAAATTACAACTTTTATTTTCTCAATTAACCCCTGGTGACAAAAATTTGACACAATCTTTGAGAAGCTAAAACTTATTGAATTTTAATTATCCAGTCTTACTTTCTTAGATGTTTTGTTTATAAGGTGTTAGTTATCTTTTACTGAAAAATTTGTTTACTTGGATTTATTAATAAAAAAGTTATTCAAAAATGAAGCCAACTACATAAATTGAACAAGTGTACAACTATTGTAATTTGCATCCTAACGCTAAAACGATGGGCATCGTAGAGTACTTTGTTGCCTCTAATCACCCTGAAAGAACAATCAAACGTTATATGGCAAAGTTTAAGAAGAATAAACGTCTCGCAAGCCTGGATTAGACAGAAAACCAAAAATTATGACTGCTAGGAACATCAATCGCCTGAAAGATCTTTAGAACAACAGGTCTGGAACTTCAACAAGAAAAATTGCAAATAAATTCAAGTGTGATCATTCTTACATTATAAAAACATTAAAAAACAAAACAAACATTTGTTATTTTAAGAAAAAACAAATTCCTGATTGCACTGATATACAGTTAAAGCAGTCGCAACTGAAGTGAGAAATGTCACGGTTTCTGAATTTGTCAATAATTTAGATACCTGACTTGACATTGACGATAATTCTTATTTTACATTTAAACATACGAATAAAAATTCTAATGCTGGATTTTTCTTAGATGTAGCAAAAAAATCTAAAATATAAGCGCAAAAGCAAATTTGAAAAAAAATATTGTTGTGTGGATTACCGAATCCCATCGTGGAATCTCAAAACCATTTATTGTTTCTGCAAGACTGGTAATTAACCAAACAGTGTACAAAAATAATTGCATCGTCAAAAGATTGGTTCCTTTTATCAACAAACATCACAGTGATGGTAATTATGTGTTCTGGCCTCTTCACATTATGCTAGAAGTGTGACCAACTACCTTGATAAGAAAATTATCCGTTAAATAACAAAAGCTGATAATCCGGAATGTGTACCAGTATTACGACCAATAGAATGTGTACCATGGCATGTGTACCAGGATTACGACCAATAGAATGTGTACCATGGCATGTGTACCAAGATTACTACCAATAGAAAGTTTCTGGTCAATTCTTAAATGTATGAAAACAATTGGGAAACTGAAAATAAAGATCAGCTGAGAAAAAGAATCCATTCTTGTTAAAGATTGCTAAAGTTGATAAAATATCTTGTACAAGGTATGTGTGAACATGTATACAAAAAAATTGAAGCAATACGTCGTAATGGCGAGAAAGTATTATTTCAGTCCCGAAAGTAAAAATTAATATATTTCTTAATATTTTGTACTAATTTTTTGTTCATTAATCTTTTTTGTTTTACTATTACTGCTTGTGTTTATTTTGTGCCAAGTTTTTGTCACCATGGGTTACATCTTGAAAATTAAAGGAATGAAATCGTATTGTTTATTTTGTTAACTAACTATAGAGTTACCTAATACAATTGATTATTGTATTTATTATAATTAACTGTAATAACTATAATTGATTTAATAAACATGCTATAAATTAGGTGCATGAAAACGCACTTAAAGTGCATAAAAATAATGTGTTCAGTGCATACAAAAAAAATACAATAAACACAAATAAGAAGTGCATAAAAATTTTTTTCCTAGAGCATAATACTATACACTACGTATATAAAATTATATATTTGGTCAATCTGTACTAAGTAAGTGCATACTTAATGCAAAAACATATAAGGGGAGATAATGAATAAGAATAGAGATGGTACCCTAATAAAAATATTCATCTTGGGCAAATTTAACTGCATCCAGCTAAATTCCCTTGCCTTGGGGCTCTTGGTTGAGTAAAGGCTAGAGATGGTGTCTTATAAGCAGGGGCGGATCCAGCATTTTTTTGGTCTTTGAGATAAACCTCTTGACATGGAGAAAACTCCAGCCTTATATTCATCGTATCATATTCATTCAATTTTTAATTTCATAATAAAGTATTTTAAGGTTCAAAAATTATGACCATTTAAGTTTAAACCACCCTCAATTTGAGGGGGTTGCAAACTTTATATGGTCGTAATTTTTAACGCTGATAAATTATATTATGCATTGCGTCAATATAGATAATTTAAGTTAAATGTCATGGTAATGCCATAATATTTCGCAAACTAATAAGAAAATGCGGTTTTTATTTCGTTTTTAGTTGTTGATTTTGGTGATATTCTACTAAAACACCCTATTAAAGAGTGTTTATTATTACGGTGCATACAGGGTGTATACACTAATACAAATAATCATTATATACACCGTGTGTACACAATCGTTTATGTCACGTTTATATTTTTCATGTTTTATATATATATATATATATATATATATATATATATATATATATATATATATATATATATATATATATATATATATATATATATATATATATATATATATATATATATATATATATATATATATATATATATATATATATATATACAGACCTCGGATGAGCGCCGCTCAAATTGAACTCGCTCATGAGCGGCGCTCAAAACTTCTGAGCGAAGCGTGAGCGCGAGCGACGTCAAATTTAAATGAACGTGAGCGCGAGCGAACGCTTTTTTGATAGCGCTCAAAAATTACGCTCATTCTGCGCCTTCTAGCGGCCAAATATTGAACTAGTTAACATGGAGTTAACTCCATGTTGAAAGGCGCCCTCTAGCGGTCAAATATTTAACTTTATATTTAAAACAGCACATGTATGTAACCAGCCAGAGAAACTTCTTAATTATAATACTGCAGTTAACGTTTGGTGTTGTTTCACTTTCATTTTTTAAAGTAGTTAGTTTAAAAACTTTTCTGAATTTCAAAAAGCGCGTTCTGAAAAAAACGCGGTTGTTTACGAAAAATCAAACAGTCAAAAAAGCGAAGATAAATAAACTTTTTGAAATTCAACTATTAATTAGTTCTTTAAAAATATATAATGAAATTATAATAAAAATATTAAGATCCAGAAATCGATTAAACAAAAACGTTGCAGTGCAAACTATAAACAACGTTTAATCTAAAAAAAGTTGTCTTCTCCTTTAAAGTTTACGTTTCTTAAAAAAATAATAATTTCTTCACATCAATTGTTTGGAACAAGTTGATTATAATTTAAAAAAGAAATTAGGAATGCTTTAACAAGCTTAGTAAAAAAATGAGTAAACAAAATGCTTATTTTAAATTTTTATTTATCATATCATATTATCAGAGCCGGTCCGTGATATTTTGGGTACCCCGGTGCAAATTAAGTTTGAGACCCTATAAAAAGAAAAAACTCCAACAAAACATCAACAAATCGCCATTATTGGAAATCCAGCGTGGGTTTAAAACTTTGAAATGAGTGTGGCCACGCCTTTTGGAAATGCGCCCACAGAGTTAGCTTTTATTGCAGTATTAAGTTTTTTTTGATAAAAAAACTTAATACTGCAGTATAATACTTAATATCGTAAATAAAAAAATTGTCTTTCAAACTATTAAATAAAGAATAGTTTTATTATTTATAATCTTGCAAAAATGATGGGGCCCGAAAAAACTGAGAAAATGTGGGCCCCAGTGTATGGCAATCTTTACACCCCCCTACGGACCGGCATTGCATATTATTAACTTTTATTTTTTCATTATTTGGAATAGTAGTAAAAAAGTTAGTGTACGATAGTAAATATTTTTGCTTTTGCCCTTTGGCTCACAAAATAGAAAAATTGAGATATGGCTGAAGAAGGTACAAGTTGTGCATCATGCATTGATGAAATTCAAGTCAGCAGGTATGTTACTAAATTAGTTTATTTAAAAAGTCCAATTGATCTTGTAAATTCGTTAATCTAAAAGTGACACTGGCAGGAGATTTAGGCATTTTGCCGCATTTTAACTATGTGATTTAGGCTCTAACATGTTCAGTTTTATTAACTCTGAACTTATCCATAATTATATTCAGCTTGACAGTATGACAGTTTTCGACTTTCAAGTTAACATGCCTCGTGTTTACTTTGCTGCTTGTCAGAGCAAGCATACGCTAATAAGCTCCATCAAATTACTAAACTAGCTATCCAGAACCAAAGATGTCAATGCTAGTTTACATATTTTTATTTTTTAAGTCAATCCAGTTCTCAAAGCGAAGAATCTAAAGATGAAGAGGAACAGATGGATGTTAACAAGCATGATGGGCAGCAGACAAAGGAAAAAATCAAATCAACATACGTCCCACTCGAGTTCTTCAAACATATAGGGCCAAGTAAAACTGGGAAATCTGGACTCTTGTTTGAATGCCGCATGAAAAACTGCCCACGTCAACGCACCTCCCGAGCCTTATGGCCAATCTTCATGACAAAAAATTCTCTTTCAAATCTTCGTAGACACATTTGAAAAAAATCTGAGTAGTTGTATATGCTCAATTTTGAATTTTTTATTTAGAATTATCATGGTGAGGATCTTGGAGTTGAAATGCTGAGTTTTATGAAAGCAGTGGAGGCTGGAAGACAATCCAACAAAAAGCAGTTTACTCTAGATGCACACTTTGTGGTCAAGAACACTATAAGGAAGGTCAACAAGCAGCCCATTACTCAAAAGGAATTGGACCACAATGTGCAAATTACAATTTGATAAGTCTTTATTTGCCATGTTAAAGCGTAATTTATTTATTTGCTAGTCCAGAATTATATTTCTGTTGATATGCGGCCATTTTCTTCGGTCCACAACGCTTGTTTAAGAAGTTTGCTGCTGGCGCTGGTCGACAACCAAGAGATCAGAAGTCCAAAATTTTATCGACAGCTACTAGACAAGGAGTGCGAGGAAAAGACTAAGCTACTGAAAGAAACGTTGGCAGAGCTCTAATACGTTTGCACCACAGCTGACTGTTGGACAAAAAATTGCAGAAGCTACATCGGGATGACCGTCCACTGGTGGTCTGATGGTCTCACCCGCCGGAGGGCTTTGCTTGCCATTTGCCAAACCAAAGAGAGCCACACCTATGATGTGATAGCGAACGCCATCAACGACATACACACCGAATTTGGCATTGAAAAAAATGTCGTCGCCACCATCACGGACAATGGCTCAAACTTCCTGAAAGCATTTAACTTTTTTGGATTGCAACTACTTGATGAGACCTCTGATAATTCTGACGACGGGAATCTCTCGTCCGAAGAAGGCGAGGTAACGGAGTTTTTTAAAATATCGAAGATTTTGAGTACTGGACCTGCACGCCCTCCCGTACCAGAAAAAAGGCAATGTCTTGATTCCGAACATAGCGATGAAGAAGCTTCTAACCAGAGCAATGATTCCATTGAGTCCTTAACTGACGAAATTCGTCTTCCTCCTCATTTCAAATGTGGATGCCACCTACTTAACCATCCGAGCTCATTTAGGAAGTTGAAGAGGAAAGTAGATGGAAAACTGCAAGCAATCTAGAATCATCAGAACAGGAGTTATTTGAAGTCGGATCTTATCAAGTCGACTATGGGAAAATTATTTGTTATTCACAATGCCACTCGATGGAACGGCTACTGCGTCGCTGTGGATCGGGTCAGAGATTTCCTTATCAACAAAAACGATGCGTTTGATAAGCTTTGCAAAGACCTTGGTGACATCAAGAAATTCACTCAGGCTGAGATCGAGTACGTCATCGAGTACACCATCATTATGAAACCCTTGTCTGAGGTTTTAGACCTCTTTCAAAATGAATCGAACGTCTCAATTGGATGTCTACATCTTTGGATATCTGAACAAGAGCGTTATTTGGACATCCGCCTTCTGAAACGTGAAGTCACTGCTAGAAAGGAAATTCTCCGAGCTGAGAGCTCTCTGTAAGTAAAATTATTGTAGCCCATTTCTCTCAATAGCCTATAATATCGAGTCCTGCTCTTTCAAAAATTAAAACGTAGTATTTAAAACCTTTGTATTGATCTTCTATAAAGGTCCGACAGTTCTACCTTTAGCGGATCGACCGCGAATGAAAATCGTGTTACGAAGCAGCGACTGCGGTTCTTGGATGCCTACAAAAAACGCAGCTCGAGTGATCTTGAAGAGGTGGATTATTACTTCAATGAGGAACAAGTTGATCGATCTCAGCTAGACAAATATCCGACGAATTAATCAATTTTCAGGTATATTTTAATCATTTTTAAATCCACTATAAATCACAATAAGAACTGATTAAGACTTAAATGTTTTATAATCTTTTAGGCAGTACAATACTGCGTTGCCCTCGTCTGCAGCTTGCGAGCAAACATTTAGTTTCGGAGGACTCATCTTCACTGTCAAACGGGGGTCAATGACTAATAGCACCTTTGAAAAGTTGACTTTATACAAAATCAACAACAATATTTTCAAAGATTGGAATGAGACTCCATCGACCGTTAAAAAGCGGTCAAATTACATTGGTTAAAGTTTTTGACCAATGTAATTTGGTTCACAATATTCCATTTGTCATATCAGTTATTGTTTAATTAATAATTGTATAACATCTATTTGTGTTACTTCATCTTACTACTGTCGTGTATTTTTTTTTTTTTTATTTTTTTTTTTATAATTTAGCCGTACAAATATTTACAAGTTCCGTAATTTAAAATATTTAAAAATGGCAAGGACGAGAAGAAGACGGGGTTGTCTTATCACCAAGTCCCTTGTTTGTCTAGACATTTATATAAATACATGGTAACTAAAATGAAAATTAAAAAATTAAGAAAAAAGCAAAATATTACAAAGAAGTTTATATAAAATGCCAAATAGTTTAATAGTTCAAAGTTTTGAAAGATATTTTTTCGATTTTATTTTTTGAAAGAAAAATTTAAAAGTTCATTCAGAAAAACAAAAATATCAAAAAACTAAAAAACATGAAAAAAGTAAACGTAAAATTTAATTTACAATCTGTTCTTATAAAGTGTAATATATTAATTCCTCAAAAACAAATTACAAAATATTAATATAAAAAATTAAAACTCAAAAAAGATTACTTTTTTTATTTTTCCTCTCTCTCTCTTATTTAAGAAAACTAATAAATTTATTTAAACTAATGAAATCAAAAAATGCTAAAAATCTTTATAAGTACTTTTTTTATAATATAACAGACTGTAATACCTATATAAAATTAAAGAATTTAGACCTTCCAGACAAATAAAGTATGCATTAGTAGATAGTTTTAAAATATAATATTTTTATAGATAGATTTAAAAATAATTATCTGTTTGTTCATTATTTAAAAGTAATAGTTTTAGTTTTTGTTTAAACTGATCAAGAGTTTTAAGTGTTTTAATATCATTACTGATTATCTTATTCCATGCATTAGGTCCTCTAACAGTTATTGAAAACTTGGTGGAGTCGTATATAGTTTTGGGTTGAACAAAGTTGTTGTTAGAATATTTAGTTACGTATTTGTGTTGAGTTTTATTAAATAATGGTTTGAAGATATTTGGTATCGAATTGTTATTAATTTTATACATAAAAATCAGAAGATGATATATATTTATTTGGTACACATTTAGTATTTTTAGATTGTTAAACAATGGTCTTGAATGTGAGAGGCGGTGTGCATTTGATAATAATCTAATTGCATGTTTTTGTTTGCTAAATAGCTTTTTTATCTTTGTTTTATTCAAACTTTTCAATTCAAACAATTCAAACAATTCAAACAATTTTGTTGTATTCGTGTTACTCCTTCCTACTATTGTATTATATCCTACTATTGTCGTGTATTCGTGTTACTCCTTCCTACTATGTGACCAACTGACAATTAAAACGATGTGAACGGACTGCCAATAAATAAATACTGGGAAAGTTATTGAAACTTTTTTATGAGCGGATTTGTGAGCGAATGAGCGGAGCTCCCGCTCAAGAAATTTTATGAGCAGATTTGCGAGCGTCCGTTCATAAAAAGCTGCTGAACGACAAATTGAGCGCTGCTCAGAATTTTCTGAGCGAATCCTAGGTTTATATATACATATATATATATATATATATATATATATATATATATATATATATATATATATATATATATATATATATATATATATATATATGTACATACATATTTATATATGTATGTTCATATATATATATATATATATATATATATATATATATATATATATATATATATATATATATATATATATATATATATATATATATATACTATGTATGTACATACATATATATATATATATATATATATATATATATATATATATATATATATATATATATATATATATTTATATATATACAATTTATATATAATATATATACAATATATATACATATATACATATAATATATATGTATAACATATATACATCTAATATATAACATATATACATATAATATATATACAATATATCAGTGGCGGAACTTCAAAATTTGGGCCCCCCCGCAAAAGAATGTTTTTTTTGCGGAAAAGAGTTTTATAGTATAAATATTATTGAGAGTATAACTTTTTTTATATGAGTGCCCCATATAGCTGGTAGGCCCCCCCGCAACGCAGGGTCCTGCGTCCAGTAGTTCCGCCACTGCAATATATATATACAATACATATATAAACTACTTATAAACCAATATAGTTGTACAAGATCACCTCTTGATTATCTATTTTCTAACATTGGGAGATTATATAGTAATATTACATACACTACTACACTATAGTAATACATAGTAACATAAGAATTTGTGATATAACACAACGAAGTCATTATGATATGTTTTAATAATTATTACATTGTATATATTATCTGTAGTGATTGTTTATAACTTTTTTTTATCATCTGGCTTAAATTGCTTTTCACAAGCAAAGACTTTTCCAGAGTTGATTTGCTTTGTAACATATATAAAATACTCTATAATAAACATATACAAAACTGTGAAAAGCTGATATAGCCTTGAGTCTAATGTTGCTAGACTCTAAACCAGTAATATTATAAATGCTTTAAAAATATTTTACAGTATTTATAAATATACAGTAAATAAAAGAAAGCACCTTGTATTTGTAAAATATAATGAACTAAATAGTACTTTTCCTTTCGTAAATATTTGTAAATCACCTGTTTAAATAATATCTGACTTGAAGTACATCTCCAGACTATCAACGAGTTTATAAAACAGTATTTAGTTATTTAATTTGTTCATTAACCTTAATGAGTAAACTAACTAAAGGAATTTTTAATTTATACTCTTATAAAGCAGAAAACGTGTTCGCTTCTTGCTTAAGATCCGTAATTAATTAAACATTTTATTATCTCTAACAAAGAGTTTGTTTAATGAACTTCATTCTAAAATCACAGTATGTTACAAGCGTTATACAACCTTAATAAGTTTGTGTGCACGGTCACGCTCTATTTTTGTTTTGTTTTACGCTCTATTTATGCGTCAATATGTTAAACAATGAATTTTACGGAGTTTTCAAACCAGTTAAAGTCTATTAACTATGATCTAATATATTATATATATATATATATATATAATATATATATATATATATATATATATATATATATATATATATATATATATATATATATATAGCAGAACTTTTCTGGAACGGTTCAACAAAAACAACAATGCCGTGGACCAAAATTTGGAAAAAGAACTTTACCTCCCACGCATGCGGACTGACACAAAACATCCTCTTTCGATTTTTACACAGCAGTCTATCTTCTGCGGCCTTGCTAGCCAAAAGCACAAGGCAACAGATCGTTAAAAACAACAAATACAAAACTTGTGGTAAAGTCGAGGACAATATCCACATATTTGCCTACTGTCCTCCCTCTACTGAAGTATGAGAGTATTTTAAACATGTATATAACTCCTTGACATCCCAAAACAACTTTTCTCCGATAAATTCGATTTTCTCTATTGAAACCGCGAATTTATTAGAAAAAAAACCCTACCTCGCAACTGCTGCTGACACTCACTCAAACCATCATTAGTGAGATATGGAACAGCAGATGCCACCACATGTTCAACAATTCCAAAATCACCAGCAGCGATCAGAGTAATAATCAAGAACATCAGGAATTATCTTAAAATATAATTATCCGTTTAAAAGATTTATGCACATATATAAATGTTACCTGTATTTTACGAACCGTAAATGGTTATCTTTTTCTGAGGACGATAATGCATTGTTTGTTCAAAACTTTTAGCATTTTTTTCAATTGACGTACTAAACTCTTTTATGAAAAAAATGACAGATAAAAAACACATACAAATCAAAGAGTAGAAGAACATGAAAAATCAAAATGCCATAACAAATCAACAGAAGCATATCACCAATATTTTTTAAAATCTAATGTTTAAAACTTACTGTTTTCCACACACTTATCAGTACGACGAGAACAAGTTCAAAAGCGTCAATAGGTATTGCTACGAGTGATAGAAGTCATAAAGCTGATTAGTAAACGTGGTCTGAGTTACAGAGGACAGGAGTTTGAAGCAGTATACATATTGTTAGATAAATTACTTGATCATGGGAACTTTTTTGAAATGGTTTTGCTTGTAAGTAAATACGACGTCTGCCTAAACGAGCATATAAATAATTGCATTGAAAAAAGTGCAAAATGAAAAGAAACAGGAAGTGCTGGAAGAGGTACCATAGTAACTTTCCTCTCTAAAAGCACAATCACAAAACTAATTCAAATTATGTGTCGCCTGATAGAGAAAACCGTTGCCAAAGAAGTTGTATCTTGATACAACGCAAGATATAACGACTAAGGATCAATGCCCAATTTTCGTTAGATATGAAACCGACCGATAGGTTATTGACAATGGTTGCAAGCAAACCTTCTACTGGGGAATATTTATCAAATTTAATGTCTCAAACTCTGCGAACATTGAACATTGATATATTAAAATACGTCGGTAATGCAACAGGGAGAGCAACCAACCAGTAGTGAAATACTAGAAAGTAGTACCGTACTTTCTAGTATTTCACTATTTAATTTATTGAATGATGTATTAGTTTTTATTCGTGGATCATATCAGAGAATGGATGTTTTTTTTGGCGAAAAATCAAAATGACGAACACCATCAAAGGGTTAACTATTGCTGAAACACGTAGGTAGTCGAAGGATACTGCACTTACAAAAATATTTGGCGAATTTGCAAATCCAGATTTTAGTTTATACGTTAAACTTGTAGTTATATTGTTTCATATAGAATATAAAATAAGTTTTATACTTGATGTTCGTGTAAAGGCAAAAGGTTTCAAAGATGGACTCCTGAAATATGAAACAATTTTAACTGCACAGATATATTCACGTATTTTTCAGTTAACAACACCATTGTCGAAAAATTTGCAAACCGTTAATATGGACATTTTGATTGCTTATAACATGGTAACAAATACTACCGAAAACTAAAAACTTATTCTACAGAATTTGATACTGTATTGACGATTACGAATAATTTTTTCAGTAAAGTTAATGAAAAACTTGATTTACATGATTTGGAAGCAGAGAGTACCAGAAAAGAGGAT